CCTATATGTGTTGCACAACACTAAAGAGGTTGAAGAGTATGTAGACTAGCATATGGCTGAACTTAAGAGGGATAATCTTAATACATTAGAAATTTTATATGCCAGGAAACACAATAAAACTTTTACAAGATGGTTTAAGGAGTACGTTCTTCAAATGTTAAATGTTGATTCCAATTCAGTTTCTGAAAAATTGAGATGGTTAGCTAACGGTCCAAGTAGACAGGCCATTTTTTACACTACTTACTTATCAATGGATACACATTTTATACAAGAGAGCAAGATGATAGGAGCAAGAAGATTAGGATGCTTTTGTTACCTCTCAGCGCGAGAAGGAATTTAAAGTATTTATGTTTCTAAATTTTAAATTTTAATACCTTTTGTTGAATGTATAGATGTGTACTAGCAAGTTATTTTTATTATTGATTAAAGGAACTGAGTGTCTAGAATAAGGAGAGAGTGGTCAAGAATGAATACCCTTATAGAGCAGGGAGGTTAGGGTATGCAGTTGTAGAGAAAAAACAAGTAGAGGCCAAGGGATTGGATTTTATCATATCCCACCAAAGATTTTGGGCATTGGCATGAATAAACAAAGATGGAGTTATTAACAACCCTCATGTAAAAGAGGTTATTAAAAAATTGTAACTGTTATTCTTATTTATCAATTAATAAATGATTATGAAAATGCATGCTAATTAGCTCTATTTTGCATAAGATTCCCTCTCTCAAGAAGTCTCACAGGGTAAGCTTCCTGAGCATGAGGATATCTTAGCTAGAGCATTGGAGACCCTTGATCAACCTGATCGTGTCAGGGGTGTCAGCTTCGGTGTTATAAAGAAGTAATACTTTAGTAAGATTAAGAAGCAAATATCGGCTTCTTCATCCAAGGTCTAAGAGTTGAGAGAAGAGAAAGCTATTATGAAGCAGTAGCTAAAAGCCCAGGTGAAGTTAATTGACATGCTATTGAAAGGGCATATTCTTGGGAGGCTTTTGGCTGACGTTTACCCTAGTAGAAAAGATAGCTGAACAGTTCTTTTAGACAAAATACTTAAGGTAATACATTTTATTTTCTAAATTTGCTTAACTAATTTTTTTACCTAAAAAAATGACATTGTTTGTTTATTTAAGGCAACAATGACTGCATCTGTTTAGTAGACGATCCTTCATGTAAAGTAGTTGTAACATGACACATGTACAACATTACCAGAGACATAATCTATAACCCTCCCCTCCCGCCTAATTGCATTAGGGTTTCCTTGCTTGTCACAATCAACCCCGAGTATCCATTATCTTATCCTACCAATGATATGTAGACGATAGGAGATGCATTGAGGAGCTTCATTTCATGGCCCAACCACCTTGTTACAGTGGGTATACTAAAGTCGATAAAGGACCCAAAGTCGCTAAAGGACCCATTGCCAATAAAGAAAAAGGTATATTTGATTTAAATAATTATTTAGAATCTTTAATATATATATATATATATATATATGTCTAATTTTTTTTGTTATATAGCTAAGGGGGAAAAGCAAATTGAAGGGTAAGGTGTCGGGCCATACCAAAGAGTTAGCTATGGTTTCACAACATCTAATGCCTAGGCCTATTGTAGAAAACAAATTCTGTGACTCTCTTGAGACTTATGCTTCAGCTACGAGGATAATTTGTCAAGTCTTGATTGGGGATATCATTAATTTTGACGGTGGGCTATTCAATAGAGTACCATTTGAAGTTGTTGGTGATGAAATTTTAAATGAAATTCTCAAGCATGATATGATGAGCACTAGTTTGATGACCTTCTACCTAAGCTAATTCTTCAATATTTATTAGTTAATTACTTGAATTATATATGTGTGTGTGTGTGTGCAAGCATATTAACTTTTATATTTTTTCACTCAAGTCACCTTCATACCTCATTTGTGGTTCCTGGTGGCCTCGAGTCAAAGATCAAGCTTGTTATTTCTAATGATGTCTCTCCCTATAATAATATTATAAAGGAAACTCTTGAAAATCAAGCAAGAAGGCTTTCAGATCAATTTCAGGAAAGGGGAGCAGAGAAGGATACTTTATTTCTCACTCTTTACTGCCAAAGGTGAGTTACTAATACTTGTGATGAATAAATAATTTTTTTATATTTACTTGTTTAATAACACGTGCTATTTCTTATTAGGGGATTGGATGCTTATTGTGGTTAATCTTGTTGCTCCAAAAATATGGTTTTTTGATCTCCTTAATGGAGAGCCAAGCAACAGGGAAGATATGGTGGTACTTTTTAATGAGTAAGTTGGATTTTTTCACTTGTTATTTCTTGTTATTTTTAGTTTCCATTCATGTATATTTCTCACATTCATTTCATAGTTCCTTCTTATAGCTGTGGTGTTGTATCGCACTTCAATTGACAAGACTGTGTCCCCTAAGATGAGGGCATTTGAATCATTAGAGAAATGAGTCACTGTTAAGGTATTCATTTAATTGGTTAAGTTTTTAATCAATAAATTGTCTCATATTTTACAATTTCATTTATATGAGTTTTTTTTACAGTGTCCACTCTAGCTAGATTGGAGCAATGATTGTGGTTATTGCTTGATAAAGTTTATGATGGACATTATCGCCTATGCCCCTGCCACATTATCTAACAAGGTATATATATATTAAATTTATCTAATTTTCATTAGCTACCTATTAACTTAAAATTGTTGTGACTATTTGCTTACAGTATTTCAAGGACGTCTACCGCATTTGTTATATGGCTACACATATAGAAGAAGTCCTTGAAGAGGTGACCCAGTGTGTTTCAATATGTGGGTAGCAACAATAGTTAGACTGATATAATAGTTAATTATATATATATACACTTTTTTTGGGCCAATTTTTATGGGATAGGCCACTTAGTTTTGAAACTCTAGTTTGCAAATAAGTTGAGTATAGATTTTTAGATTTTAAGGCTAAATGTATAGAAATTTTAATATTAATTAGATAGTAAATATTATTAAAAAACATTCATTATATTGCATTGTTTTTTATTGCTGATTGGCTATTTTTTATTTGTATGTATTTGTATCTTTGTGCAGGGGGTTGCTTTAAAAGTAGCCACCCTATTGAAAAAAATGCCATAAATACTTGATGGTTATTTCAAAATAACTCTCAAGTATTTATATACTGACTCTTATTTCTAAATAAGCATCAAATATTTGTAAATATTTGATGGTTATATGAAAACAAGCATAAAGTATTTATGACTAAAACCAGCCCGGGCAAAACTTAGGGGCAAAAGTGACCTTGACCCAATATTTCATTATAATAATGGTGGGACCAGCTTCACTAAAAAACATATATCATGGTGCATTAATGGTGGGATAACAAGGCAGTGTCTTTCAAACATTTATGAATAGAAATGACCTAATGGTGAGTTCAAAGTGCATGTAGATTTTAAGAAAAAAATTGAAGAGTAAAAGTAACCTTTAACCTTATAATATATTTTTCTTTTTTTTAATTTTTAACTTATATTTTATGAGACTCATGAGTGAATGGGGAGTTTGTATTAAAGCAAAGAAAACAATTATGTGGTCTTTGAAAGCTAAGAAACGAATTTGCACGCTAATATATTAAAGGATAATTGATGATAAAATTAACAATCAATTCTTTACCAACACATGAAAAAAAGGGAGAATAACATTCTGGCACCAATGTATGAATTGAATTACAATTTAGGATAAAAAATTTCATCATTTAATTAAATAATTGACATTAAAAGTTGAAAAAATTTCCTAACTAATTTCCCAACCCTTATCATGATGGTTTCGTTCTTTCTTTGTTTTTTTTAAGAAAAATTGTTTTTTCGGCCAAAAGTATTGTTAATAATATGAACTTTGGAATACATATAAGTGAAGGAATTTGACAACGAGATTTTAAAATTTGACATTGTTATATGAAATGTTGGCAACTAATTTTTGAAGTTAAATTTAAACGTAAAAGATTACAACAAACTTGTTTTAAATAATACATACTCCTTCCTAATAGTGATCAAAGATGTGGTTTGATTTGGTTTTGGACAAAATATGAACCAACAAAAACCAATCAATTTATACAAAAAATGACACTTGATCAGGTTTTTTATTATGATCAGTTTGCTTTGGTTTTTAGGCTGTTTGATTTATACAAGTATCAAAGTTTGAATAAGGCTAAGCATAACTTTTTACTTTCTTTTTTTCTTATTCTAACCTTTTTTGGCCAAATTTTTATTCTAACTTTAAGTCACATTCTTAACTTTATGATTCACCAATAAAAATAAACATCGCATTCAAAATAAAAATATTCAAATTAATTTCATTATAAATAAATACTAAGTAAATGCATTTGTCAATAACATAAGTTAAATTTTATTACAAATTATCTTGATGTCTATAATGGTAAGTAGCTTTTTTAAGACAAATGAAAAATTCTATATCTAAAATTACTTAAAAGATTATTCACTATATACATTTGACCCTTTAATAGAAAAATTAAGAAACGTGGATGGTAATTCTATAAAAGTATTATGGGTTTGGGTTTGATTTTGGTTGGGGTTAAAATTTATATAGTAAAAAATATATTTAAAAAAAGTTTTAAAAAATTGAAATCTAAACCAAAAGCATTCAATTTTCAAATTTATAAAACCAAACCCTTATTAGTAATCAATTTCATTCAATTTTTATTGAGTTGGGTTTGCTGACCCTTACTCTTCCTGCATTATTTATAAGTCACTTTGATATGTTTCATTAGATGTAAGAAAAATTTTAAAATTCATTAATTATATTTAAAAATTTAATAAATTTTTAATTTTACTCTTATTAAATATATATAGTTTGAAATTAAAATATACAATGACTCAAAACAAGCAGTATCACGACAGCGCCAAAAAAAAAAAAAAAAGCCACAATCAAAATCTCCATCCAATGCGATTAGACTCTAAGTAGGAAGAAATTGGAGGTCCGTCGTAATGTAGACAATAATTCAAGAAATCTTACCACAAGTATCCAATGCAAGAACCATCCTTGCCCTTGGGATTATCTAGTAAAAACAAATATTAATTTTATGAGAAATAATTTAAAAAATGTGATAAATACTCTCTGAAATTTATAGTGTTGTTTAATAAAACAAAGAGATGCATAGTTATTTCTCTTCTATTTAAAACCGGTGGGAGTATATATATTGCAAAACTAGTATCCATTCATTTATCTATTGCAAAAGAGGAATGCATAATTTTCTACAACTAATAACATGTTCGAAATTCTACGTAGTCTTAGAAATCAGACAAGATGATATATAATAAAGAAGTAGGGCCTAAAAGTCCAATGTTTCAAAGCTTTTAATTAATTTTGTCTACGCATGCACTATATGTACTTTCAAATGTCTAGTGGTAAAGATTCATTATTCGACCCACCTTGATATGAAGACTAATCGCATAATATTAATTATATTAAACCCATATGTTATTGTATGACAACTGAAAATTAAGTAACTTGCTATAGATCTATACATGCATCATACACACATACACGCAAAATATAGATTATTATAGGGAAAATATCACTCCGTCAAGTCCCTATATTATAATCCTATGTGTTTAGATTTTAGTTCTTGTAGTTTTTTTCTTTTGTTTTTGCGTGGTTTCCAATTTCTTTTATTTATTCTATCTGAATTATATATGTTAGTCCATTTATTTTGAAAAAAAAAATACTCAGGATGACCATTTGCTATCCTAACAAACGGTGCTAATTTAGATGAGGTGAACTTAACACTATTAAAATTGAAAAAAAATTATAACATTGTCTAATTAATTAAAAAACTGACATTAATCACAGACGATCATTAAAGAATATCTTAGAAGATTAATCTCAGCAAAATTCATATCATTTGGGCCAGCTCGTGGTCCTTTTGAATTTTTTTTAGTTTTTAAAATAAAAAGACCAACATTTTAGGCAGAACAAACCGAAAGGGTGTGAACAAATGAAAATAAACTATAGGAACTAAAAATAAAAATGATTAAATATAAGGAGATGGAGTGATATTTTTTCCATTATTATATCATAATAGCCACGGTTAATGTCAACTCAGTAAATAATCAAAACACCTACAAATGTTCCCTCACTGCAAATCAAGGATTCAATTTTTTTTAAAGAAAACCTGTTTGTTTTCTGTTCTTTAAAACAGTTTTTTTTTTGAAAATAAAAATCCTTAAAACTTGTTTGAATAAGTATTTTAAATCTAATTATTTTCAAAAACTATTCTTACTTTTTTTTAAAAAAGATATCGTTAAAATATTTTCACTTTATATTTTTTGTTTTCAAAATACATTACATATATTTGATTATTGAAAATTACAATTACTTAGATGAATAACTATCATAATCCACTATCATTAATCATCAGTAACCATCACTGTTAATCAATTTTTTAATTTTAAAACCATTTTTAAATTAACAAAACCAAATATATTTTCTTTTTTTTTTGTTTTAAAAAACAATGTTAAAACTGTAGTGCCATAAAATAGTTTTTAAAAATAAAAAAAATGAGAATACAAACAAACAAACAAGTCCTTCACATATATTGGCAGCATGGCTTGACTTTAAGAAAATTTCAAGTATGAAATTCACTATACAGAAATTAACGAACATAGATGAAGAGATAGATCTAGCTAAATAAAGATGTACACCTTTTGAATCTTTCCTGTTGGTTGTGCATTGGGGCTCATATTTGAAATCACTCGGAAATAGTTGAAATATGATGCTTCCACGAAGAAATTAAGAAGCAGGCCATGAATTTATATAAGGAAGATGGAAGACGACTGCACCACTTGAAGACTATAAAAATAAAAATTACAATCGTTCGCAAACATTGAATAAGAGAAAGCGATAAGAATAATACCACTGTCAATTAAATAATATGATATATATATATATATATGGATATAATATATATTTCATATATTGATTTTTTATGTCATATATAGACTGTTTGAGGAAAGACCTAGCTGGTATTAAGTAAACAAGAGTCTACTCGCTACTTGTTGCACTTGACACTTGCCACTACTTGCCAGGACATATTCGAAAGCATGCCAAGTTCCTTAGTCAATTCAACTTTATAATTTTAAATAAATGAAACTTTGTGATTTTAAAAAAGGTAAAGGGGATGAAATATTAATTTTACCTATATGAGCAGTTTGTAAGGAGTTGCCAGATTTTAATGCCTCAATTAAGTCAAAAAAGGTGAAGGGTAGGTTACACCTTTTATCTATGACTTCTTCCAAGATAATCCATCTGATTCCTTAGACGCTTTCTAAAAAATTCTTTGATTTTTAATATAAAATACATGGAGAGTTATTTATTACATTTTTTAATTTTATTCCTATTATAAATTTAATTTATAACTCATCGTTTACTGTGTACATCTCTCTTCTTAATTTTAATAGAGATAAAATTAAAAAAAAATTCATTTTAAGACATATTTAGTAAGTTAATTATCATTTCTTAATTTCAGTAAAAAGTACCTTATAATAAGAATTGAAGATATTATTGTTTTTACCATCAAGTTCTTCCTAAATGCTCTCGTACCTTGGTAAAACTTCCAAAACATCTAAACTGTACACATAAAACATCAATACCTACCGCAAAAAGATGGTAGGGTTTGTCAGTCAGACCAGTGAACTACCACACCAGTCCCATGGCCAGTTGAGTTAAAAGTTTTGGACTAGTTGATCAAGCTAGAATTTATACTTGTTTTCCTTTCAAATTACAAAGTCTGAAGCAACAATATGATTTGGAGTTGAATAAAAGAAAGACAAAATAGATTTTCATCATATTTAAGTTTAAATAACTTTTTTTTGTTGGATTATGTGTTTTGACCAAAAAAAAGGACTATGTGCAATACATACATTCCATTTACTTGCACATTAATATGGCTTTTTATTTCAATATTATCGTTTTCAACATTATATATGAATATTTTTAAATATTTTAATTAAATTATATTCTTTTAATCATGATTAGATTGATCTTGTTTCAACTATGGCTGATCTTTAAATAACAGTTTTGACTGTCTAATGTTCAATCTGATTATTAATACGTACCTTACTTATTTCTTTATCTATTTTAGTACGAGCACCGAATCTCATAGGACTAATGAAGCTTGGTGGTTTTGATCTTCCAAAGGCCAAAATTGAGACATAATTACAGGAACGTACAGTTCATTACAGATCAACAAAATATGCTTTTTTTTTTGATATACCAAATAAAACTCATTACATTTCTACCAAAAAAAAAAAAAAACAACTCAGTACACGCAAGATCTAAATGTTTAAGCTGACAGATATTATTAAATTATATATAGTTGAGCAAGAATTTATTGTCCTAGCTCAATACCATTGACTTTGAATACTAGTTGTTAACTCTTAAATTAATCAACAATTTGTTCTTCTTCGTTAGGTAGGCATATGAATTTTCCCATATTAATACTTGCTAGCCCTCTGTATTTAAAGTGTTGTATGTATGTGTTGTTAATTATTTAAGAGAACATACACCAAGTTATTACTTGGTTTCCTTCACTACCTCTTCCGTTATTCAAATTTCCATATATGATGATGAACATCACTGATATATATATATATATATATATATCCTAGTTGCAACCTGGCAACGGACTTCAAAAAATTTATAGATAATTCAAAAATATATATGTGCCTAGTTTACAATGACACTATTGTTGAAATTGGTTGTTCTTGATCAATCAAGTTCATACTCAAACTAAAGAACAATTACATCTAAATCCATAAACTTGAATATAATTCCATATCAATTTAGAAGAATAGAAGAAACTTAATATGAAAGGATACTTGATGTAGTCAAAAGTGTCATGTGGTCCTATGAGTTGATGGATTGGCGCCACTGTAATATTCTACATTTGTAAACATAGGAAACTTCCTTATCATGATCATTCAAAAAGGGGTCAAAGAACCAGATTCTTAATATATGCAATCTGGGGATCACGGCCCTTGTTTATAGATTTAAGTTTCTGATATTTATAATTTGGCTCCTCAACAAATTATAAATATTATTCTGGTCTCTAGACATTAATATATTTCACAATACATTCTTTAAGTTTAAAATTTTTTCCAAATAGACTACTTTATTTAGGCTAAATTATAATAATGGCCACACATTTTTAATATTTACATGTGTGGCCCATATATTGACTTTTATTTTTAACAACTATAAGTAAACATGATTTAACCAGTCCTTTAAACAGTTAATTACAATCAGTAATGGTTTTGTAAAATGAATTTGATAAGTAAAAGGCATGTAATCTACACAATTTTCCCTTAGGGAAAAATTCGTTGAACAAATACTACGTGTTATTGGCTTCATTGATGAAAGGATTTTCAATTCAGAAACTAATTGATCCTGTCTAGCACAAGCATATTCACTCGCTGCTATGAAACAATAATTAGGAGATGATGGACTGCAAAGTCATATGACTTGATGCACAGATGACAACTTTTTACTTTATGACTTAAGTCTTCGTGATTTTTTGTGATTATTTTTATATATTATTTTACTTTAAAATCTATCCTATCTCTATTATATTTATAATTTAAATTTGTGGATATATTTATTAGTCAAGTTAATATTTTTAACTGATAAGAAGCTATATATTTATAGTTTCTCCATTATTATAGAAGAGATAATTATTGTAATTTTTATTTTTATAGTGAAATTTCTTGCTTATTGCTTGTGAATATTTTTATCCCTTGCATTGGTTTTCTTACGTTAAATTTCCTATGCCATTTCTTATCATTTTTTTAATTTCTCTACAATTATCAATTATTTTATCCTTTTTTTAAAAATATAATCCATGGATAATACAAAGAAATCTTTCAGAACCCTATTCAGACTTAAGATCTCTTAGTTGCATTTTTTTTTAAATTTTTATCATTTACCTGGCACCGACGACAGCAAATATTACCGGTAACTAAATTGCTACATGTACAAAGACTATTTATTTAAGTGATGGGAGTTCATACTACTCATGCTAATTACCTTTACATGCTTTGGATCTTGACTATATTATAAACATGATTGAACTCCGCCGCGCATCGCCTTGAACGCCTATAGTGTTTTGCCCACTCAATATTGCTAAAGCTTCATTTTGCTTCAATTGCTTTTTTTTTTTTTACTCCTATCCATTTTTAGGATAAATGAGAAAATTGACCTCCAAATTATAGATCCAAAAGTATTTGAAACACTATACTTATTTTTTGCACAATATTTCCCTTTAACTATTGAAAACAGTACAACTTAACTCCTACTACTATTAATAAAATTTAACTTTCATCATTAATTGACCAGAAAATGAAAGAAAAGGATCCCAAAATTACAAAAAAGGATTTAAAAATTACAGACAAGCTAAGGAGTCAAAAAGTTACAGAAAAGGACTGATAAAATTTTTTTGAACCTTTTTTGTAATTTTTTAGATACTTTTATGTTGTTTTTTAGTCAACTAATAGTGAAAGTTAATTCTGCATTATTTTCAAAATTGAAGGGGGATATTGCACTAAAGATGAGTTTACCTTTTTTTTTAATTATTATCATAATATGAAGTTTAGTGCAATTGCAACTACTAGAACCCACCCACGGAATGCACGGGGTTGTGTTAAGTAAAGAAGCCTACTTGCCACTTGCTACTTGCTACACTTGCCACTTTCCAGTTGACTTGACATATTTGAAAGCATGTCAAGTTGCTTATTCAATACAACTTAATAAATTTTTTTGGATCAGAATACAAACTTCATCATTTTAAATAAGCACAACTTTGTGATTTGCTTCCAATTTAAGCAATCAATAATTTAAGGTCTCTCCCCCACCATATGTAGCTTATTTTAACCAATCTATCGATCTCGCGATATATAGCTGTCTACTAATTTTTTACATGAATATTCAGCTGGAAGACAAGCCCAACATGATGCTTAAAGTAACTTTTATGCTTTCCATCACAATATTCCTATGTTTTTTTTTAATAAACCAAATGTTCAAGCATACAAAACAATAACAAAACATGACACTACACTCATTATAGATTGGTGGCATTGTAGGCCCACACTTGGAACATGTATACCAACACCACTCTTTTAGGACTTCATTCATTTGAGGTTCCTCGTATTCATTATGACTTCACGTAGTACTTTAATGTAAATGATTACAACAAAATTACTTTATTGCAATTTGTTACCATTTATTAAGTGATCAAGCTTATTGACCTTGTCAGGGATTGTAGTCTGATAGTGAGTAATTATATCCTTCATGTATTTCATCAATATCTTAGATGCAAAGATCTATAAACTATATACAAGTGAATGACTCTTAAAATATGAACATTCCCTGTCATGATGAGCTTTTACTTGACAGCTATAATGTTAAATATCGTTTTAACTTGTTGGATCTTCTGACCTCGCAAAACAATCTTTCATGTTTGGAATGATCAACACTAGAGATACTATAACAACTAGGTGGCTTGATTATGACCAACATTGCAGCTTGATATACTAATTTGTTTATTGGGTTAAAGGGCAAAAAAGTCAGAATTTTTTTTTGCTAGAAATGTCTAGTATCCTAAGTCAATAATTATAAATGGATACCCATGAACTCTTTTTAGTAAGGAAATCCTTTCTCATCCTGTTAAATTTGCTTAATATCCATTAATGTTAATCATTAAAAAAAGAAATCAAGCAAATCTTAGGTGCAAAAATATCTTAAAACTTTTTTTCTAGATGTAAAAATATCCAAAAACTTGTTTTTGGTGCAAAAGTACCATGTACCATTAATTTTTAGGTATTTTTACTCCTTAAACCAACATCTTGGGTCCATGTTAACAGATGTTAAGTCATTTTAGCAGTTTGAGAAAGGATGCCCTTATTAAAAAGAGCTAATGGTTACTCCTGCACCTTTGTTAACTTAACGAAAACGGATGTTCTTGGCAATAAAAAGTATTTGGGTATTTTTCACCTTTTAACCCTTGTTTATTTTATATTACATTGATGACTTCCTTTTTTGTTCATGTAGCCCCATCGCATCTTGGATTTAAATTAGAGCTTCCATTTCACAACAAGGACGCCATTACAAATAGAATTAAAATTTAAGTCAATTTGAGAATAGTTATTGCTAGATGCACGACCGGTGGTACCAAAGATGAGTTGGAGGTTTCACCACCACAGACACAAGGGCAAGAAAGGTTACATCAAAGAAAGACCCAATTGTTTTCTTTGGTATTTTTGTTTTTCGGTTTCTCAAGGTGTCCTCAAAACCAGTAGCCATGAAACTAATTCTTCACAAAATCTGAACACCATTTATGACTCAAATTGTTTTCTAGGCTCTCTCCTCCTTTGCCAACTCGTTTTCATGTCTTTTTTCCCCTTATCAGATTTCGTTCTTTCTTTCAAAATAATTGGATTGTTCGGACGGTGGATATCTTAGCAGAAGGAAAAAAGAAAGTATATATAAAGGTTATTAGTCACCAAATACATATGCAAAGAATTAATGAAAAATTAAGGGTAAAAATGGCTGAAATCTCTTCCAAATGAAAAGACTCGAAGATAGATAAAACACGTACAACGGGGTTGATTGTTGATTTCACCTATCTCATTGTTAATCTGTAGTTTTCTGTGTATGTGCGTTAAAAGAAAGTCACACAGTGGTCAAGTGAGAGAAACTCCAAAAGTGTATAAAAGATAGGCCTGGACTGGAAGTGGATTCGTGTGTACAACATGCAGCCAACACAAGGGAAAAAGCTAAAAATAGCTGATTCGTCTCCTTTGAGCGGGAGTTAAACGTTGTAATGGACCAATTTCTTCATGGTGTATAATGTCTTGAAAACCGGCGAGTTAATTGTGTGATTATGGTGCCCAACATCATTCTTCAGATTTTCTACTTATAAAAGGTAGAGATGATCGCCAATTCATTGACCCAGTTCTGATGACAGCTTGAAAATCATGACTACTCCAATATCATCATAGTATATCAGCACTAATCCAAAATCTTATATAAATTCTTGAACAAATCTACTCATTGCATCAAATTAAATTCCCAGAATAGGTTGGAAAAGCAATGACATTGTCACATGATTTTTAGTTCCAAGGTCTTGGAAGGTATGACCATCTCCATGCTGTTACATGCAAAGTGACATCCCTGCGAGGTTCATAGCAGTGTCAATGAAACTCTTTGGGTAAGAAGAATTGCTTGCATTCATCTTCTTCCAAGTTTCATATATCAATAAATTTATGTGCCTACGTGCTTCAGCTTCGGAAGCTTCAGTTTCATTCATGTAACACTCAATTGATTTTGGTATATCGCCTGTCTCCTTTTCATGCTGAGAAGAAGAATTTAAGATAATGGGAAAAACATTAGTTCCATATTTCATGAAAATATTGGTTGTTAATCAAAGAATTATAGGTTATTTTTATTTCTCAATTTTATCCAAAGAATTAGTGGACACCTTGAACTCATCTAAGAGTCTATTATGTCTCGCAACATTAGAAATTCTCTCCCTTAATGTTAACTCGCTGTATCTTCACCTCTAATGGGACAATGTTGCATTTTTTTAATATTTTTATTATAAAATATTATGTTAAGGGTTATTTTTGCCTCTCAACTTTACTTCTAAGAGGTCATTGGGCACCTTAAAATCAAATATTTTGTAATAAAAAATATTAAAACAATATAATATAAGATCCCTAATGGTGAAAAGATAATGAAAAAAGGACAAAGTGACAAGGAAGAAAATCTATAATATTGAGGGACAAAACTGACCTTTATTTGAATTTAGGATACTACTGACCCTTTAAGTAAAGATAATTAAATGATAAAAATGATCTTTAACCTTTAATCAAATAACAACAAGGATGTATTGTGATTGTACCTTAGATGTTCCAAAGTCATTAGCAAGTCGTAAAATTGTTGCCGAATTACGAATAATGTCACAACATTCTTCCAAGAAAACCAAGTTTTTCTCTATCCTTGAAGTAGGAAGTGAAGAATTAGCGTGGAAAAGTAGTACAGGAGCATCAATTGAAATCCATGCATTTTCTAGGTACTCTTGCAGGCTTGGTTGATGACCACTATAGTACGATTTTGCTTCAATTAGATATGACTTACAGTGATCAGACCACCGAAAGACAGAGTAATATTAATAAAGGAAATTAGAGAATAACTTTATTAACTAATTTTTTATGATGCCAAAAAAATTTATAAAACAATTCGTACCACTTTCTTAAGGTGTGGAATGATGTTGTGCCCAATCTCTTTAAATGTATGTTTGGTTCAAAGGAAGAAGAGGGAAGGGAAGGGAAAAGGGGCATGGGAGGGGAGGGCAAGGGAGGGGTTTTAATAAATATTTGTTTAGTTTAAAAGGGGAGGGGAGGGGAACAAAAAATAAATTAACAATTTTTTTTCCTATCAAATTTAACTTGATTTTTATTTTTTGCTTTGAGAAAAAACTGTTACATTATAATTTATTAAGTTTTTTTTTTAAGAATATGAACTTATATTAATAAAAAAAATTTGAAAAACAAATACATTAATATTATATTTTATTAGTGAGTCTAATGAAAAATATTAAAATTTTATACATTAAAAAATATATATTAATTTTTGTAACACAATAAAATTTATTTTATTATAAGAAAGAGAGAAAAAAAATAATACATAATCTTTTAACATTAAAGGTAGTTTAAGATTTGTAAAATAAGTGCTTAAATTATTTTTAATTATTTTTCTCCCTTCCAAAAAATCCCAAATTGGAGAAAAGGGCTAGGAGGGAAGAGGAGGAGAGTTGCCTCCCCTCCTCTCTAATTTTTAAACCAAATAAGAGGCTCCCCTCTCCTCTTTTTATTAGGTACTAACCAAACAAGTACTACTACAAAACAAGATATGTAAAACGATTATTTTTAATAATATTAAACGGTTATAAATCATTGAATAATTAAACACTGAATATTTCCAATGCACATATTTAATAGTTTTTAATCAATAAATATTAATTGCCAAAATATTCAACATTTCTTTTACAAAACTGTTTAATATATGTTAATATTCAACAATATTTAAATATAACTGTTGCATATTATGTAAATATCAATGGTTTTATCCGTATAACTACTTAGTATTTAAAAATATTCAACGGTTCTATTTCAAATTGTTGAATATTATTTTATTATATATTTGGTCACAATATGTAATGACCCAAAAAAAAATCTCTCAATGTATATTTTATTTAAATTAATTTTATGACAAATGAAAAGTAGTAACTTAGTGAAATTATGCTAATAGCTTACTTGAAAGATCTAAAGTTTGAATTCTCACTGAACAATAGGTTAATTTATTTTTTTTTTAATTTTAAAAAATTACCAAAAATGCCCTTGTTTTTTTCTGTTATAACAGAGAAATTTTGGCCCTTTTCTGTAGTTTTCCCCAATTGTTCTCATTTCAGATTTTTAATCCTTTTGCTGTGCGAAAAAGAGCGCTGTAGCGTTCATTTCTTCCTTCTCTCCACCGCCATTACCCTCCTCTGGTTCTTCATCATCAATCCACTCCTCTGGCTCTTCTTGTCGATTCCCTTTCGCTCGTTGTCAACCCATGCCTCTTCAGTGCTGCTGGTTCGTCCGTCGCTGGTGTCCAGGTTTGCCGTGGACTCACCGTTGACGAGGTCGGAGTCACGAGTTCGTGGTTCCCCTGTTCTTTGTTTCACCATCGATTCCTTCTTCTCTCTTCCTCGTTGGCATCATTTAGGTGCTGGTGAGTGAAGCTCGTCCTTCGTCCTCCTCCTTTGTGCAACAGCGTCTCTTTCCTCCTTCACCACTGAGTTCTGTCGGGCTCCCTCTCCCCTGTACAGCTCCTGCAAATCTTCTCCTTTCTTGCTGTGCTGTCTATGATTAAGGTGAGAAGCGTTGCGATCTTCTTCCTGATAATCTTGTGTGCATGAGTGTGTGAATTATTAGTTGAAGTTTTTTTTTTTCCCTCTTGTGCTGCTGCTATCCGTGTGATGAAAGAATGAAGAAATTTAAATTGAATTGGAAATAATTTTCTGCACTTGTGAGTGTGGACTGTTGTTGCTGTGCGTTAGAGTGTGGTTTGCTCTGTGTGTCCGTGAAATTACCGAATTTTAGCGTGTTTTCTGTTGCTGTCGTGCTGTTATAGGAAGAGACAATTCATCTTAAACTTTGAGAATGATATACTCAAGGGTCATAATTTTTAAGTTGAACTAATTTTGTTTAGATTGGGTGATGTTGAAGAATTTGTTAGGGTGAAGTTGAAAGAGAATAGCTTAAATATAAAACTTGAATATTGATGCCTATAAAATGTTTGTTGAAATATTTGTTAGAGGATGTTACAAAGGTGATTTGAAAATAATAATAATAATAATAATAATAATAATAATAATAATGTGATTATTTGAATCCTTAAAGTTGGATAGAATGTCTTTACATACAAGTTATAAATTTGAATTACTCATTGGAATCGTGTAACACCTAAAAGGAACTTGTCAAACTATATGATAATTAAGATTTTTGTTAAGTTTGAAATAAGGGTTAAATTAATGGTTAAGGTTAAATGTTGCTAAGTATTGTTGCTCTACTTGATAGAAGTTATTGGAGGGTTCAGTGAATGTTTAGGGGTTAATGAAAAATTTAAATAATTATTGAAGAATTTAAATGTTAATTTTGCTTGTTTATATCAAGAAAGGAAATTCATAATGACAAGAGGATTGTTGGATTATGTGTCAGATTATTTGGAGAATCACTGAAGTAATTGAGAACTTAAGGGGGTCAAGTTTTAGAATTCTTGAAGAGTTCCAGGTGAGTGGATGACGTTTCGAATATGTTTTCAGTAAAGTGTTTATAAAAATTTCTTTATTTAAATATTATTATTGCTTTATAGATTGTTTACATATTCTTGTTAATCCTATTTCCATATTAATGGTATTATTTATGATAAGTAGTTTAATTATTTAATCCTACGTTGATATAAAATTTTTTATTGCAATGATTTGTATATGGAGGAAATGATAATAATTTTGGGCAATGAAAAATGAAAGTTGAATAATATTTGAAAGTGAGAAGTTTGAAACTAATTTTCTTTCTCCATACACACTTGATTTTAATGAGGGAGATTGAGTTCATAATGCTGGATGCTAACGATAGTTCCGGTAGCCTTTGGCGTGCCATAGTACATCTAGCTAACAGGGTGTTTATGGGAGGCGCTAGCCCCGTATGCAGGTTAACGCATGTGGAACAAAGGGATGATTATTCGTGAACATTGTACTCATGCTTATTCGTGGGCTTCATGCCTGCGCTTGACTTGTCGCTCTAGCCGTGCTTGTTTCATGACTTTCAACCACACTTGATTGGTTACTTACCCTCATGGACTGTGTATCTATGCTTGGTTAGTTATCTTCGTGGATTGTGTATCCACGCTTGCTATTCGTTCTCATAAAGCCCTCCTAAATCTAAACTTAAAATTCATTATTTTTATATTATTTTTTTAAAAGCATTCTACCTAGTCATACTATTGCTTGAAATTTTTATATTTTATGAACATTATAAATTTTGATAAATTGTTTTGTCCTATTAACATTGTTCAAATTCATGATTGTATCATTGAGAAAATTTATTGTTTATTATTATTAGTTTTAGTTCATGGTTCATTATTTCAAAATTTTTAAATTAAATTTATTCATTAAGGTCTTCATATATTTATATACATATATATAATTGGAATGCTATTGACCAGTAATTTCTTTGGTCTTAGATGGTATAGCTAACTCTACGCCTTCAACGGATCATTGAGAGGCCATTTGCCTTTTTGGGAAAGAGAAATCGTATTGCGATTATTGTTTTGGTAAAATTATGTATTGTATTTTGTAATCATTACTTAGTGTTTCACATATACCATAGTTAGCTCCTAATCTTATTTTGTTATTATGTAAATTGCTGGAAAGGAGCTAGTCTCTTTGCTGGTCTGGTTGACAGGTGCTATTATTGTTGTGGAAATTTTAAAAGGTTTGAGTTATAGGGAAGATTCTATCAAAATTTTTACAAAATATTTAAGACTTTACAAACTTTATTATTATATATAACTTACATATATTAATATTTTAACATAATTTTTAATTATTAAGGCTTATGGAATATGAATTTTCCTCATATTCCATGATGGCCATACCCTTAATTTCGGAATGTGACACAATATTAAATGGTTTTCCAAAATAACTGTATAATATTGTGATCAATTTTTTTTCCTATTCTTTTTACATTTTTATTAGCCCTCTTGCATTGAACATTTTAAAATACATTTCCAGCACCCAAAACAAAATTTCAACATCTAACAATAATTATATACATGAAATTTACATTATGAATTCCTGCATAAATTATATAAAATTTGATGTTGTTTATAACTTAAAACAATTAATGGCCAAAATAAAGCTCCAAATCCCAAAAAGTTAGTAAAGTATACCTATATCTATGTTAACTTTAAATATATACTTATATGATGTATTTCTTCACTATTATTGGTTGTTATAGCTAAATCATGTTTGGAAAATACTGCGTGCTAACTCTTCAAGGACTTCTTCGATTTAAGCCTTAGTATATACGTCACAGTAAGTGTCCTCGTAGTACTAATCAATGCAAAAACAACAACAAATTAAATTCATGTTAATTAATAAAAATAATATAATGATTATAATGTTAACAATATACATACATTGTTTGAAAGAGTTCTTGCAGGAGGATGCTGGATTATATACTTCATAAACTTCATGACAGCATATCCACAATCCTTGGCTTTGTCATGTTGTTTTGGGCATTACAATCACACAATGGATAAAAAAAACTAATCAATGACATAACATGACTTATAATTATGTTACTAACATAATTAATGATAATTGAATATGTATACCTTGATAACTATCTATGATGTCAACCATCTGTGATGTCCAAGGTATACATTCTTCATAACATGTTGCAACCTCACTGAATGTGTCTTCTTTATAAATAGAGCATCCAAATTGTCCTTTGATGATATAACCTGATAGATTTCCATATATTGAAAAGCCATTGATTATATTGAAAAGCATAGCTTCAAATTAAATATCTCTTCTTTGTAGGCATCATATATCTCCACACCCATCTCCCACAATAGCTTCAAGTCTTTAAGTAGTGGTTCCAAAATATCTATGTCATTCTCGAGTTGCTTAGGTCTCGAGATTAGCAATGATAATATGATATACTTTTACTTCATGCAAAGCTAGGCCGGAAGGTTATAAATAACCATCATCATAGGCCATGTACTGTAAGTACTACTTAGCATCCCATGTGGGTTCATCCTATTAGTAGATAATGCGAGGTATAAGTTCCTATCTTCTTTTCTAAACTCAAGATACTTATGATTGAACCTTGTTCATTTAGGAGAATCAGCTAGATGACAAACCTTGTCATCTTTAATCCTTCTACTTGTATGCCATGTTAAATTATTTGTCTCTTCGCATATGCTATACAAGAGCCTAAATCTTAGAATAATAGAAAAATATCACATTGCCTTCTCTACACTCTTCCCATTCTGCTTATAGCATGATGCCTTACACTTAAGATAATGGCTTAGCTCTTCATCTTCATTCCTAAACTATATGCAATCGTTATCACAAGTATGTATCTTCTTATAACTCAGGCCAATTATGCGTAACACCTTTTTGACATCATATAGCCGGCTTGGGAGCTTGTTATTCTTCGATAGCATTAGTTTCATTAAAGAAAGTAAGCTTGAGAAGCTCATATCACTCCACCCACTTGTAACTTTCAAGTTGTATAACTTCAGCATAGTAAACAATAGAGTGAACTCAATAACCCTTTGTACAATGGTGTCTTCGCATCAGTTTTCAACCTTTCCAACTTCTCTAAAAAATTCTCGAGTTTACCTTCCATCTCATTGGCTAATTCTTTGAGATAGTGGTTAGTCTCATATACACTTATGTTGGAGTCTAGTGATAATGAACAACTTTTCACATGCCCTTAGCTTCTATTGTTCACATAATCAAGTATCTCTCCATGCTTTACCCAACACTTGTAACTATAATCAATTTCGTACTTAAATAGGTGGAGTTCACATGTTTCAAGAGAAACTGACTTCACATTATCATAGCTTAAACAAGGGTAAATAATTCAGTCACGATCTTTTGCATTATTTACTGTAAATTTAACGAAGTCTGCCACTCAATCCCAATATTCTTTAGATAGACAATTGATAGACATCCACTCCTTATCCATGATGCCTTTATTTAATAAATATGGTAAAGATAGAAAAATATTTAGTGATATCACACCCCAAAATTTAAGAGTGACCGGCATGAGATGTGAACCATTTCACACATTCCCATAAGTCTTAAATAGTAAAGTCATTCCATTTCTAAAATTAGATCAAATTTATATAGAAATTATAATACTTTTTGACACTAACAATTATAATAAAATCTCAACATGTTCATAAAAATTTTGACAAAATCTTCCCTATAAATAAGATCTCTCAAAATTTTTACAATACATTGATGCAATCAAAATATCAAATAAATCAAGCGCTTAGCTCCTTCTAGGTGACAGACAGCATATATATAAAAATAAAAGTCCTAGTTATAGCTTATGTGGAGCACCTAACTGTACTTTTTAAAAAATAAAATAAAATAAGATACATAAACATTTATAATTACATCAAAAGAAAAATTTTAATTAATCCTCCACCTATCTATAAATGCTCAAGGATTGGCAAGATCAATGTTAGCTAAGATATATGAGACCAAAAATAATTTTTCAGTGAATAACGTTCTAACAATAAATAATAGAACATAAATAAAATGGAAAGTTTGAAATAGCTATGTAAGTTAAAGAGACAAAATTTTTGTAAAAATTTAATAAATTTCATAATAAAATAGCTCTATAAAATTTTAAATAAAATTGCAAATCATTGAACTATCATAGCAAATGATAATATCACTTGATTTCAAGAAAGCACATAAATGAAATAAATATTTATAAACAAATTACTAAATAAAAACTAATGGAATATAAAATTATCAAATGATTAGATTCATGATTATAGGGACTTATCAAAATAATTAATAAATGTGGACACACAGTCCGTGAGGGTAAATAATCAAACGTAGCTTATGTCACAAAAACAAACATGGACACACAGTTCATAAGGGTAAGTAACCTAACGCAGTTTGAGCTATGAAACAAATGTGGACACATAGTCCATGTGGGTAATGCTAACCAAACGCAACTTGAAGCCACGAAAGCCAACATGAGTACGAGGCCCACGAATAACAAATATGAGAATAAAGCTCATAAAAATTAAACTAGCTAGTCATTGACCATGGCACACTAAGGGTTAACGAAACTGACATTAGCAACTAGTGCTTTGTAATAAGTCTCTTTTAAATTTATTTTTAAACATGCCAGAAAATCATCATTTTCAAAATAAATTTTTTATTTTTAATATCAAATTTGCATGAATCATTTTTTTCGTAGCAATTTAATAATTTTCAGAATGAAATTTCATAATTAGAATCCAAACTTGTATTTACTGATTAACTAAAATAATCAATTCTAGTAAAATAATTTCATGAAATAAAGTAATTTAATTAACAAAATATCTAATAATCACATTGTTGTTGTAAAAAAAATTTGCATAAAAATGTAATATTTTAATAAAAAAATTTTATTAAAATATTAGTTGGGATGCTATTCACTTACTTGTAATATTTTCAAAGCTCAAAATTCATTTCTTACAACTCCAATCGAGCTACCTTCCTTACAATATAAAGTATAATAAGATTATAATGCACTTTACTTTTGAATCAATAAGTCTCTTTTAAGAGAATCCATTCAACAAAATTTATAAAAAAAAAAACTTTGAAATTTTAGCAACAACATAAAAGTTTTTCCTTAGGCTTTTTACACGACATCTAATGTATGACATTCCAAACCATTGAATAAATATATAACCTTTAATTCTCTTGACCAACCATTTCCAAACATGCAAGTATGACTTCTAAATTGATAATATACCTTGTACACTCTTCAACCTTATAATTCTCAATAATTTCAGAACTTAGATAAGATCTCAATAATCCTTTAACGAACTCCTTTGCAAAAGTCCAATTTAGATTTATAGATAATAATGTTTAAGCATTATCATTTATGTCACTAATTTTCACCTTAATGCTTTAGCCATATCAACCTGTTTACGTGATATAACATTTCTCTTCGGTACATTGTTTTCAACCATACAATTAGAATTTTCTAACCTACCATATTTTATCCAACACTTTATTAATAACCATTCTATCCCCAAGAATTTAAAGTTACATATAAATTTATAATAATCAAATTCCTTTAATTTGTAACCTACGAGCTAAATTTATGGATCAATAACACTTAAACTAATGTATCTATCACAATAAATAATAAATTTCATAAATCTAAGATATTCAAGCAAAACTCTCCTACAGGCATTTCATTGAACACTTATCATCCATTAATTCTTAAACTAACACCAAACCTCTTACCTTTAAATCTCATCTCATACAAATCACAAAATTGATATTGAACTCAATCAACCAACCCAATTCTAATTCCTTAACAGGAAAAAAAATTCAATTGGACCTTAAAGAAAATTAAATCTAATTCCTCTTCTTTAACATAAGCACAAGTGCATTTATCTACCAAAAATCACACTCCTAGAACTAAATTTTCAGTTTGTTTAGATCCTATTACTCCTCCTATTTATGCATAGCAACAAGAAAAAATAAGCTACAACTTAGCCACATAACACACTCACATATTCAATGAGAAAAATAAGACCCCAAACACCCATCTCAATCAGCGAAGTTAGCAGCAGGGTGAGGAAATTAACTAAGCAAAAATAGAGGATCAAACTGACATACCCATAGCTACCCACACTTGAACACAGTGGCAACATCGAACCAAGAAGAAACAAGGGAAGCCAT